GAATTTCAAATCTAACACTAACGCTTTTTCTATGATATGCTTTTAGTATTTGGTAATGTAGGTGAATAAAAACAGTAATCAAATAAAATAAACTCATTTTTGAAGCACATTAAGCAGAACTTAAGTTTTTAAAATATATTTTAATAACAGTTTCATTTAAGCTCTATAAAGTGGGCATATATACCACCGAATATATACGTTTATTATTTACTTTTATTTGTTGGAAAAACTGTACCCCCATAATCGAACATTTAGAGCCCGCACAAAGCAATCGCGAAAAAAAGAAAAACGCTTCGGAAATGACGGAAAAATCGGAAACGAAAATCAAGCATATGAGTTTAATTGCCTAAGCAATTGTAATCAAGCTGTGAGGCCATCAAAGCCATCAAAAGGACACAAAAGGACGAAAATTGCTGATTGCATTTAATAAAAATATAATGTTGCCGCAAACGCAACGAACGCTGAGCCACGAATATCCACCACCGATCGGCCCAAAATAAAAATATATAAATCGAATCGAACATCCAAGGAAATGGCGAACGAGTGTACGTCAAAATGGAATCAAATCGAGGCAGAACATGAATGCGAAACGCAAAACTCACGACGACAATGCGAACTTAATTTGTGTCATAGAAAGCATGAAAAGGAGCAGCAGCCAAATTGACATATTGACAGCCGCACAAAAGGTCCACCCCAAAAAAAACTGGGGGGTGGGGATCACGGAGCAGGAGGAGGAGGAGGTGGCCATGCCGCACTGCAGTTTGATGGCGGCGTCAAAAATAAACAAACATTGCGACGGCAATAAAATATCAAAACAAGCCGAGTAAGGGGAGTGGGGGGCGGCACGAATGCGGCTTAATTGAGGCAACAGAAGGCCGTACAAAAATCCAATCAAAACGCAATGAAAACAAGGATCAAGGCGCAGGCACAACCACAATCATTGTCCCGGGCAGCTGTAAACCTCAACTCGGTGTGTTGATGTTATCCTGGCAAATAATCAAACCCGTGCACACACACACACAGAAAAAGCAACTAAACAAGCCAACAAGGACCTTGTCAAGTAGATATGTAAGCGATACAGATGGAGATACTAGCCTCGATGGAGGAGATAGACCAGGACAATTGCCGCATGCATCCTGGCAGGATTCTCTCAAGGCTACACTGGCATTCCACTCCCAGTTCCAGTTCCACTTTCAGTTGCAGTTGCACTTTCAATCCGGACAACTGGATTCAGTGGAGCGTGCGGCATCCACCCCTGAGGAAAGTACTCCTGACCTAATCCAATTCCCGGGCACAATGGACAAATCCTGTTTTTGTTTTCGCTTACCGATGGGATGGCATTATTAAAGCCGAGAAAGGAAAACACACACCCGTTAAGTATTTATTTAAATTTAATTTTCCACTTAGGCTTTTTAGAGTTTTTCCAATCTAGATCGGAGATGAGGTAAGAATTGCGGGAGATACTGGTTAGCCATTACTTCTACGATCTAGATCTAGGGATATGCTAAAGAATTATCTGTTTTTCTGCAAAACATTCAAATGTTTTCTATAAGCCATCAACTTTTTGGTAAGCCATTTGTTGACTTCATTTGAAAAGCGGTTGCTGGTTTTTGCCTTGCTCCTTCTACCTTTAAACTCCATTTCAAAGGAGTTTGGATGCGGCGCCACACAAACCAAGAATTCCCCCAGAAGCCCTTGAGCCATTAATAAACACATCTTTCCCCCATTTCCCTGCCCCAAGAATAATGCCTTCCGCCTCTCAACTAATTTTATGGTTTGCCCATCAGCAGGGCCATGAACACCCCGACTCCGAACTACACCAGGCCAATCAAACCTCACGACCTCCACCTCGCATAAAAGCCGCCAAATGTTTGGCGTATAAAACCAAATAAGACAAAGCACACAGACATAAACCACGCCCCCGACGCCCCCGAGATGATCAGCAGTGGGAAATTTGTTAGCGTGTCATGTAAATTGCACACAAGAGGAAAACGAGGCCTGGATGGATACATTATGTAAATAAAAGAAATAATAAGCTCGCACGGTTCCCGAAACAAAAGCCCAGGATCAAATGCGAACATATACTCTCATGTTTGTTATTTGCATGATGCGTTGATGGCACTTGGAGTTGGGGTCTTCGCACTTGAGGAATGTGTCGTCTGAATTGGATATTGTTGTGTATTCGACCTTTATTTTCTATGTACCAATTGGCATTTAAGAAGACACATTATTCGAATATTAAGTATAGTAAATTAGCATTTAAAAACGCCTTAAATATGTGTAAGATCCGATTGATATATAATGAAAAATCAGCAGGCTGATGAAATAAAACTTCATTGTGTAGAAATAATTCAGCAAGCCAGGTACACTTAAATGTTTTCCACAACAAGTTCTTAAGGTAGATATTTTATATTTAATTAGAGGTACGGGCAAAATTCTCAAAAAGACTTCTCAAAATTAAGCCAAAAACTGAATTGCCAAAGCAGATGCCAATATGTCTGCCTTCATGCACCTACTTCGCAACTTTTTCCCCAAGTGGTGTCATCCACATCCAGAAAAGCATCTCAAGCACCACATTTTCCGGCAGCTCCAGACGAATCGCCCAACCGCCGCACTGGTGGCCATCAAACCCAGTGAGCAAGTGCTGCCCAAGTGCAGATTCATGCAGTACCGGCGCGCCAATGAGCAAGTGAAGCGATTGGGCATGGTCTCCGAGGACGGCAACAGGATGGTGGAGCTATCGAGCATGACCTGCGCCGCCTCCAATATGATGGACTTCATCCAGCAAAGGTACTGCATGGTCAGCCTGTTGGACAGTGTGCAGTTCATGAAGATCGAGGATGTGGACGCCGTCGATCTGCGCCTGCTGCCACCCATCGATGCTCCCGGAAAGATCATCGGCGTGGATTGCAACTACGTGGACAACTGCGATGAGCAGCACATCTCCATCCCAAGGGAACCCAGTTTTCATGTCAAGTTCGCCTCCGCGATAACCGGAGCTCTGGACAACATTAGGGCCCATAGCTTGGCCAAACACATTGACTATGGCTGCCAGTTGGCCGTGGTTATGGGCAAAAAGTGCCGTGAAGTGTCTGCCAAAGAGGCGCTGAATCACGTATTTGGATTCATGGTGGTCCAGGACATCGTGGCTAGGGACTGGAATGCTCCACTGGGCGGTCACTCAATGGATACTTTTCTCCCACTGGGACCTACCATTGTGCACAGGTGCCATGTGCCAGACATAAACAATCTGTGGATCAAGACAATCGTCAATGGCGAGGAGCGCCAGACGGGCAACACCCGGAATATGATATTCAAGATCGACTTCCTTATTCACCGCCTATCCCAGTACCTAACTCTCTGTCCGGGCGACATTATACTCACGGGAACACCCGCCGGATCGGGTGCATTCCGCCATCCGTCGTGCTACTTGCAGCCCGGCGATCTCATTGAGAGCGAAATTCAAAGTTTAGGCAAAATGTGCAATAAAGTCGTTAATTGTTATTCCCAATGAAAATATATGTATTGTGTCCGCCCAACGGACAATCTGAAAATCAGGGACAGAATCTGAAAACCAAAGTAAACTTCTGCCCAGCAATATGTGGGTTAAATGACTCCGTAATCATACTGGACTTCGAGGCTGGTTTAAAATCCAGGACTTACTTTTCTATAGAATGCTTTCAATGAATTAAATCGCTACACGTCGCATAAAAAGCACGTATGTCCCCGAAATCGGCGCTAATTCTACCATCTCCATCATTGGCCAATAAATTCGGGCCGACGGCAAGCCAAGGATGAACCGAGATAACCATATCAGAAGAAAGCCACTGGCAGGATCCTAATGTGCAGCGCGGAAGTGATGGGCGGCGGGAAAATCATTTTGTAATATAATTTGTTTTGCTCGATGGCTGGCAGGAAGGGGCGACCACAAAGATTGGGTGATGGCTACACTTTTATGATACGCCCAAGCATAATCAACATTATCCTCAAAGAGTCACAAGCCGCAAACAGGGCGCCTACAGAGGGGAGGAGTGGGGAATCCCCGCTGCGAAAGCCACGGCGCATTATCATCTCATTGCACAGGACTTAATCCTGCGGCAAGTTATTAAAGCGTAACGCGTTCCGTCCGTGTCCAAGTGCCCCGCCAATGCCCCTGCTGCTCCTGCTGCTCGAGTCCTTGGATCCCTGAATCCTGCTCCCTTTTTATTGTTCGCGCTGCGCTTAACTTGTTTCGCATTGAAACAGGACGAAGGGGCGGCGGAATGTGAGGGATGTGACTGGGTCGGTAGGCGACGCCGCCTTAATGCTAAATGATCCAATATCCTGTTTCCTGCATTTGTGCTCTGCAGCAGCGTTAAAAGGTCCTTTGTGGCCTCCGCCCAGCCTTCGCCATTATTTGCCTTGGCCAACTTAAAGATGTTTTCCCTCTAAGCCAACTTTTCACCACCACCCAGGCCCCCTCCCAATTATTTGCTTAGCAAAAAGGAAAATGGAATCGGCGGAAAATGTAGCGAGTGGGGTACATAATTTTGTATCTTTTCTTTGCGCACGGCAACTTAAATAGAAGAATGTAAAGTTTTTAATTATGCAACTCATCGCTGACGTTGTCGCATTGTGTGCGAAGTGGGCCCGATCCCACTCCTCTTCCCGTTTATTCCATCTAGTGAGCTGGCCAAAAACTTAAAATACACATAATTAGCCATAGTACCGGGGATACTTCTATTTTCTTCCCGTTTGCTTAGCGACGAAATTTCGCCACCCACTCTCATTGTACGGACTGTGTATCCTTGGGATATCTTTCGGGCTTAGTCCATTCCCCTCCTTTTTCGGGCCAAAAACTAGGCCAGTTGCTTTCTGCAAGTTGATGTTTAGCTTGGCATGGAAAACGGCGACGACAAAGGCCTCTGCTAATTGAAGGAAAATATTAATTTGTTATAGTAACTAAAAGCTAACATACGACAAATAACACACATCCATATCTCTTTCTAGATTTACAAGTTACACACGCATTTTCTGTCATTTTTGCAAAATTACTATCTTCTATTATTGTATACTTAATCCATATACTTACAACTTTATTCATTAGAACTTGCTTTAAAATGTTCTCGAGATCAGGTGAAGTAAAAATAGGTCAACGTGCCAAAATACTTACACTTACATTGCAGCCCTACGTCCTTGGACTGTGGCCATATCTCGTTCGGCTACCACCCACTCCGCCCAAGGAACAAAGAGGCTCCCTGGACATGGAAGTCCTGGAAAGGATCGCTTGGGCCTCCTGTCCGAGAATTGGGTCAAGGGACCCATGGGCGTTGGTCTGCTGGCCTATATCTGCTCCGGGGACTGTTGTGCCATGAAGCACGAGCACAGCGGCTTATCCTTGGGCATCTTGGAGGATGGTTACTACAGCAGTGGAATCACCATCGGTATCCTGACCACATTTGCTGTGATAAGGTTTCTGCCAGCGATTGCAAAGTGGGCTGATGGCGAGATTGTTGTGAGTGCGGCTTAGAGCCAAGTCACAAACTATAGCTAATTATGCATTTCTTATTTATCAACTTATACTCTCCCGAAGAAAATTGAGTCCGAATACGAAAAGAGTCGTGGATCTAAGAACAATGCGCTATCCATCTCGCCCCCAAAGGAGAAAAAGAATCTTGATTACGTAGCCGATCAAAGCAAGTGAACGATTTATTGTATTACTTATTGCACTTTGTAAACACATACCCATGTAGTACATAATAAATTTGGCTGTAAGAGAGGCTCTTTTTTAATGCAGCTGAACGATTTCCAACGTTCATTTCTTTATATTAATACTCGCAAAAGGGGAGCATGATTAGAAGTTGTGCACAGCTCGTCTCGTAAGCTTGCCACATTTTATTCCAGGCCTGAAGTATGCATTGGAGCCCACTTTTGGGATGAGAGCTCCACGCGGGTTGGGGATGGGGAAGCACATAAAATGTTACATGTCGTAATATTCACCACAAGCAACTCGCAACAAGCCAAAGTCAAAACATGCCGAGAAACATGGCATTGAAGGCAGTTGCCAAACAAACTAGGGGATACCCGACCAGGAAGAGGCGGCAACAATGAAAGGATGCCAAAGAGCGCAAAAAGAAAACAACATTTTCCTCTCGTTTTTTCCCTATTTTTCCTCCGGCACGACATAATCTTTTTAACAATTTGTATTTGGGGATGCGGATGCTGGCGGTGTGGATATGACACATATCCCGACCAAAGTCAATGCCGAAGTATGCAGAAATTGCTTTGTTTTTTGTTTTCGGGCTCTTTGGGCTCTTTTTTCCGCTGCTTTGTTATACATAATCCTGGAGAGGTGTGACATTTGTATGTATAAATTTCAACTTTGATCCGCAAAGGATAACCTCGGGTGGCCAAAGCCAATTGCCAGGCACGAAATCTAAATAAACACACAGAAAAACACAAAACACAAAATACAAAAGCGGAAAGCGGAAAGCGGCAAGCAAACGAGTCCCAACGAAAATGTGGCCACGTTTCGTGTTTTCGAGATCTGTGGCTGGAACTCCTCGAGTTACAGACCTCCGACTCCTCCACACTTAAGTTGTCAAAATCAGCACAGGATTCGCTCTCATGTGTGCGCTTGGGTGCTGGGAAAATGTTATTTTCTTTTCATTTAACTGTCATGTATTTTGCATACACAAAAGCCAGCTCCTGTCGGTGCCAAATTGAAGGCCCCTGAAGAGAAATGTTCCCAGCTTTGTTTACTCTGCACTTTCTGGCGTAGGTGTTGTGACATTTGACCGCCAACGTCTATGGAACATCAAACGGAGCATTTTTGCTTATTTTTATGCGCCTTTTCGGGCACATTAATCACACCTTTTTGGGCATTCGAATGAGCAAATTGACATTCTAAGAAATGGAATTCTGAAACTGTGTATTTGCCAGGAAAAGTAATTTGAAAAAGTTGTAAGAGTGGCAATTTGCCCAACAAGCTTCACTTGAACATAGCATTTACTAATAATTTGTACATTCTAGTTTGGCGCTCAGTTAATAAACAATATTAAAGCTCCCTAATTTTTCAACTAAAGATATTTCTCACAGCTTGACTTCTGATTATCCCTTCTTGATATGAATAACTTTTAAAACTGCCTAAGTGGTCTGTAATGGACTTAGCACACGCAGCTTCCCTCCATCAGAACTAAAATTTCACATACCTAAGCCCATCGCGTGCCTTTTTCCTGTGACCAAAATCCTGTAGGGAAGATATGGCTCTGTGGAAATCCTCTAACGCCCGATAATTATGTAGAATATCTCCTGCGATAATTGCTTGATTTGCACAATGTGTGTTGATGTTTTCATAATGAATGCTTTCGGGGCATAAATTACAAGTTGCAAGGGGAAGGACAGCTCGTTCTCTGGCTGGCATTTGGTGCACAAATGTGGCATACAGCTCGGAGTCGAGTGGCAGATTGATAAGAGTTGTAGAAGGGGTAGATACGCCTGCAAGGGAGAGAATTAACACATTTGCGTTCGATCAGGATAATGATGATGCTGGGTTGCTTACCAAACCCTAAGCTGGGATCAGGGTGGTTTTCTCCCCCCTTCCAAGTGGAATTTTCCTTAGGGTGTGCCAAACAGTGGCAGCTGCCGTTGCGCAGTTATGGAAAACCTTTGCCTCAACGCATGCGTCAAACTAGATTTATGTTCGGATGCACTTTAATAATTTTCCACTCGCCGTCGACCATTGTATCCTTTCTGTATCCCGCATAGAATGAAAAGTCCAGTTTGCTCTCATTTTCAAGTGCATCAAGTACGAAACGCATTGACTCTGTCAATTTTTGAGCATTTGCAATTATTTCTCTTATAGAAATTTCCCAATAACAGATCGTTATCCAGCTACCTTATGAGGGTGGACTGTCCTGCAATGTCAGCTGGCCAGTTGCGTTAAATGAGCCAGCTCCATTTCGATTTGTCCAGCATTTCCTGTTCATAAATTGGATCGGCTTCAACGGGATTAGATCTTTATGGGTAGCAATAACTTGGGAAACTAATGTGAAATGGTTCGGGTTTCTGATGCTATGGGAAAACTGCGCTTAGGCAAACAATGTGTGGCAATTTAAATTTAGTGAATGTTAGGCATCGCAAGCAAATACATTTTTGGAAAAATCTCAATTCACTTTGTTGATTTTAAACTCACTTTCAAGAGCTTAGTATACTATCACCACCTACTTAAAATCAAACACTCCGCATAAACTGGTCATTGCGACCAGTTGAGTGCAACTAAGTCCACTTAATCAGCAATTAGCACCAGTCAACAAATCAAAGTAAAGCTGAACGAGTGATTTCAATTTTAATTGCCCTAACCCTTCACCATCACCAGAGCTGGTTGGAAAAAATAGTGTTAAGACCTAAGCTTACTTAATGTGACCACTTTGAGCGGTGTCGACGGCAGCGAGAGTTGGTCATCTGGGAGTACTCTATATATCCAGTACATATAAAACGGGTAGGAGGAGTGACAACGATAGGAGGACTACTCCGTAAGCGGATTAGGGCAATAAATTGTTCAAGGCCCGGCTGCATTTTCACCCGCTCGCCTCCAAAAGTTTGAACAAAGTGGCCAACAAAATGCAGCGTTTTTGTCATTCTACGCTCGGCCTTCGCATTTTGGTTTATTTTTTTCACAATTTACCACAATGATTAATCACCCGAAGGAGGCGTACTCCCTTCCGTCCTGTTGGTAATATAATATTTGTCATAGTTCATAATTTAGATATTCTTTGTGTCCAGAGGGGTGGAACAAAGCAGAGCGGAGCGCAAAAAAGGAAATAATAAAATATTGCAGTCTGGTAAAAAACATCAACTGCATATGTTGCACCCAGTTCAAGTGCAGTGGCGAGGGTTTTATGTTTTGGGGTGGGAAGTTGGGGTCGATGGGCACCTAGGGGTTGAGTTTGTTTGCGCACACGGTGCGTTCAGTTGAGGGGTGACCACGGTGATGTATCCTGGTATATTTGCCCAGTCTCACTATCGATGTATCGTGGTTTTTTGTTTGCCTAGAGGGTTGATTCAATGCGGAACTGTCGCACTCGCAATTGTGCAGGTCAAGTTAGTAGGTGTTTCCCGGCGAATTTGCGGTTGCATTGAACCTGGTTAACCAAAGGATTGGTGTAGTAGTACAGCACCACTCAAGGGAGGGTAGCAAATAGTGCACAGAAGGATAAGTAGGTCTGAATTAAAAGGATGTCAAGATTTACTGAGCAAATAAAGACATGCATTTGTTGAAGGTTATTGAAGCGTTGTTGTAGATCTGAATTAAAAAGATGTCATGATTTACTGAGTAAATAAATACATGCATTTGTAGAAGGTTTCTAAAGCTTTGTTATTTATTATGCTTTGACACAGAATGTACATAGGGATTTTCCTCTGTTTTGACATCAGTTAATATTTTTTAGACTTAAGCTTTTCAAAGAATAAATGACAAAGCCATCAGTTTAAAGAAATCCCCGATTCCCCAAGTAATTGCGAGGGCATTTGGCCATGCCCAATTAAAATGCAGCAAAGGTGATTTTCTCACCTGGAGTCGGGCAATCAGAGAAGTCATCCAGGATGCAGGTTTGCTGGATAACCAGCCACACACAAAGCCAATCCCCTGGACAAAGGGGAAATTTGCTTGGCAATGATAATAGGTGGATAATTTATTAGCCATCGACCAGCATTGAGTATCGAATGGATGCACGTTGAATGTTGGATGACAACTGCAAAACTGCAGCCAGATTGCCCAGATAGAGAAACGTATGTGTGGATGCGGGCCTGTGCTGGAATGGGAGATTTGCCTGGGCTGGAATATAGGAGTACGGGATGCCAAACAAACGGACAAAGGACGAGTGTTTAGAGTAAACACAAAGGCGACCATAATACAATCATAATTGAATTTTTACAACATCCCAGGGAGAGTGTGTCGGATTTTATGCTCCCAACTTCGGATCTTCGGTTATTGACAGTTCACACCAAGGACATGCTTTGAGTCCCAAGCAGCCAGCACAAAAACACACGAACCGAGGCGAAATTAAATTTTTATCTAATATAAACTCGCAGCAGGCACTCGTCCCTTTTGCGCTCTGTTGTTACTCAGTCCCTTTTTTTGCACAGCGATATGAGCGATATGGCTCAAGGACATTCCAGGAAATGCCAACGGACACACACACACACCAACGCTGTCAGTTTTCACACCAATTCCCGGAGGATGCACACAGTCCTGGCCAATGTCCTTCAGTGGAGCATTAATTTGACTTATCCCTGGGACAGCGGGACAGCGGGACAGCGGGCCAGCAGCAAGGACACGCACTCGGTTGGAAAAGTGCAATTAATGTCGAACAATGGCGACTTTTGTCAGCTCTGGACACACACGCGAACGGCCAAGGATGCACAGACCATTAGCCACGATCCAGGACCCAAGTCCAAGGACCTTGTGCATAATTAGCCGGCACTCCGAATGGGTTGCCTGGCCTTCGGGCAAGTCAAGGTCCACTTGCACAATGCCATCAGAACACACAGGGCGCAGCAACCTTGAGTCATAATTGAGGTCCTGCAGGATAATGAGTGCTTTTCGCTCGACCACGCGCCGCGCCTGCGCAGAATAGAGCCCACAGGCGAATGCAAGGCGTGCGCTGATAATAAACACATTTAACTTATCCTCAAGGTTGGCCGAAGGTTGCAGCAGGTCCCTGAATATTGCTAATTACAGTCCATAATGTAGAAATTGAGTCGTAAAGCAAAGTCCAA